CACCCAGCTGGTCTGATTTGAAGAAGGTGGGGGGGCTGGTTGACCTTTGATGACCTCTAGAGACATTTCTTTATATCTTTAAAATGACAGCGCCAGAAATGGAGATTTTTGCTGCACAAACGGACACCGATTTGGTCTGATTTGAAGAAGGTGGGGGGGCAACTTCACTCAGTTTTGTATGAGCTATGAGAACAGCACATTTTAAGCAGGGCGTGCACGGGGAGAAATTGGTTTGTTCACACTCTTGCGCGCACATTTTTTTTTTTTTTTACTGGAGAGGGCGGGTCTTTTAAAAATCCTCAACAATACCTTTAATCTCCTCAGTGTACACGTCACACATGTGACACATCATCTGCTGAGATGCAGGAAAAAAAGCTTTCCCTCCTTAAATTTAGTCTTTTATGGCTTTTGTTGGTCACATATAAAAGGCTTCAGAGAAAACAGATTTTAATATCCAAAAAATCCAGTTAGGAAACACTCATACCAGAGTTTTTGGAAAACAAAAAAAAATCTACCCATAGGGCAAAGCAATGTGTCCGTGCGCGTCTCGTTTCAAGAAAGTCACGTGACCAATATAGGAGTCGTTTCTAACTGACTGACTTACTAAACTGTGTTTAAAAACGTAACTGTCAACATGATGCATCTGCTAAAAAATGTGTCTCTTTTGCAGTTTATCATTAAAATTAGGGATGCACGATATAATATCGGAATATACGAATATCGGACATCGGCCACCCCACTGATATTTAACCCGATATTTGATCAGCTTCTGAGTTTCTAAAGTCTAATAAAAAAAAAAAATACTACTTCTTCTTCCTCAAAAACTTCTTTTTTACAGACTTAAAAACTTCTAAAGACCAGGGAAAAAATATTGAAACATTAAAATATCACAATATCTTCATATGCTGATATATTGCCATTTAAAAACACCATATCAATCTCTTTTACTAATGAAATATTGCTATATGTCATCGTTATGCTACGAAATCCCCCGAAAATTCACGAAATTTTGCCATATTTTTATATGTTGATATATTGACGCGGTATTGATCTATTTAACTAACAAAATCTCACAAGAATTTCCAAAATATCACGAGAGTTTGTAACAGAACGATGAAATTTCACGAGATTTTGAAAGTAAAATAGATCGATACCACGTTTTTAAAAATCAATTTGATATCAGCATATGAAAATATATTTGAGTTTATTATTTTTCAAAGTGTCAGAAATGGATAAAAAAACTGCTATTTTCAATGACTACTTATTTTTGTCCAGCTTTAACATCGGTATCGGCTAAATGAGTTTTAAAATATCTGCATATCAGATATCGGCCGAAATCCCAATATCGTGCATCCCTAATTAAAATTATCAATAATTTTGGAGCAGCCTAAAAGGAATAGGAACGTTTCAGCCGTTGCTTGTTTTATTTTAATTTTCTCGTCGTTCCATCCTTTTCCTCTCCGTTATCACTCAACTTATCTGAATTAAAGTTCATTTCAAATTGACTATTAGTTTTCTTATTGTTTTTACTGTACTTGTTTTAAAAATATGATTTAAAATCCTAGCCCACAAGCATCCTCATTCACGTTTTCCCCTATATTTTACGTTGTACGTTTACATTATTCATTGGCTGCATCTAAAAATATCAAATAGATTTTCAATTGAAACATAGATATAAAATATTATAACCTACAATAACCAAAATTATATAATTTTACTAGGTCATCAAATCAATTCAGTTTAGTCTGTCAAATGAGCTGCCTGTAGTGTCTTTAAATGTCCAGCAGGTGTCAGTATTTGGAGAGACAGCATCAATGCATTTTGTTACCTTGTCTAAACATTTCAAGATGCCCCATTAACCGATCAATACTTAAAAGGTTGGAAGTAATCGCTTCGATCCCCACAGCCTCCACTCTGGGTCCCTGAGTAAGACCCTTAACCCCTGACAGCTCTCCTCGGGCCACACCATAGCAGCCCACTGCTCCCCAAGGGGATGAGTTAAACGCAGAGGTAAATTTCTCCGATGTGAGATCAGTAAAGTTCAATTGCTATATTATTAAAATAAGTGTGAAAACTATGAGCACAAAAGAAGGTTCATATTAGAGCTACAACTATCATTTATTTTAGTATCTGATTAATCTATTTTTTTCAACTAATCTAAATACCAAGAGGGATACAAATAAATATTTATAGCTAAATAATTATTGGGTGTTTTTTTGCAGGGGCACATTTTTTTTATATTTTCAAAACACTTTACAGTATTTTATTATTTATCTTTTAACTCTTCACTATTATGTTATCCTTATCTATGTTTTTAAGGTCCATATTTGTGTGATCATTTTTCTACAATCTTTTTGCTGCTGTAAACACCAGAATTTCCCCATTGCTAGACAATAAAGGGATTTTCTATTTTATTCTAAGTCTTTAGCCAATTATCGTGTCAGCCCTAATTCATATATAATTGATTAAAGAAGCTATGGGCTCAAAATTAGTGATACAAACAGAACCACTGAGGCTCTAAACAAATTGGGTGAGCCCGTCTCCCTGGCTGTGTGTTTCCTGGATGGGGCCGCCTTTTACAGTTTTCTGTAACTCTGCTTCCGTCTCCTTGAACCCCAGTCGTCCTCAGCAGATGGCCGCCCACACGGAGCCTGGTTCTGCTAGAGGTTTCTTCCTGTTAAAAGGGAGTTCTTCCTCTCCACTGTCGCTACAAGCATGCTTAGTGTGAGAGATTGCATTGGAGTCAATGATTTGATGTAATCAACTGGTTTGCCCTAGATAGAAAACTGAATCAATCTGACTGGATGATCTGGTGAACTGTGTCTTAAGTTGTGTTATTAACTGTGTGGGATAATAACGATCGTTACAGTAGCATATATATATATATACAGTGTTGTGCCTGAACGCGTTCATTGAACGAAAGTTCATGAACTCGTTCATATTTTGGGCGAACGTGAACTGAACGTACTGCATTATTGCCTGATGAACGTTATTGTGAACTCGTTCATTCTGGCGTCTGTGAACGGCACGCTCTCTCAGTTCAACTCCGTTCAATAGGTTGCCAGATTTCTATAAAGCCCTCCAGGCGAAACCCCGGCTAAATCACACCGTAAACAGGCCTTAATATGTAGCGGGAAAAACACCCAATCTGGCAACACCAGCTACCAGCCTCGTAGCCTACAGCCGCGTGCGTCATCAAAACAAAATGCAGCGTGGAAGCCACAGCAGCATGGAGGCGACTTAAAACAGGTTTATGACCAGGTGGTCGGTGAGGATGATGGCAACAAGTTTGCCCGCCGGCTTTCAGTAAAAAAATCCGCACTTCAGTAACCTTAAATTCCTACCTCAGCCTGGTCCCTCAGTTTGTATTAGTAAAATCTTCTTGAGCGGAGGTCTTCAACAGGGGATCCGCGACCCCTAGGGGGTCTACGGAGGTACTGCATGAGGGTCTGCATGGTTAGTTGATATTTTTATATTCCCCCCCTGCATTTATTTTCCCCACTAATTGAAATGTCTTTAAATACTCATTAACATGAAATCAACACACTGTAGTAAACAGATAAATGGAGACAAAAGATGTCTTTCAGTCATCAGTGCTCACATTCAGCGACACACAGGAGCTCTTTCAAGCTGGGCACCGTTTCCTTCACAACAACCAGGAATCAGAATCAGAAAAACTTTAATAATCCCAGGGAGAAAATAATTTCTTTACATTACTCCATCTGTAATAGAGTGACTATAGGACACAATTTCATACAATATATATAGTTAGGGGGTCCCCGCTCCATCTCGCCATCAGTTTGGGGGTCCTTGGTCTGGAAAACATAGAAGACCCCTGTTCTTGAGGGTTTTACTATCCATGTAACTTGTTTGTTAAACCTGCCTGGTATAATTTTCCAGGATTCCAGTATTACATTTAGTATGTATTGAAATGGAATTTCAAATGGAAAAAATTATCAAAATAAAAAAAAAAACATTTGCACCTTAAAGACTACTTTCCTATTTTTCTTTTAATAATTACTCATAAAAAAGACGATTCAAGCAGCACATTTTTCCTGATGTTTTTGAGAATATACTGTAAGGGTGAAAGCTGCAGCTGCTACTAGTGTGAAGTGAATGGACAGCAACAAAGCATTAAAACAATGGGGAAAAGCTGTCCCCTCAATGCTAATGTAAACCCTGGATGGATAAGGATTCAAAACTGGATATGAAGATGAAATCTGACGCACAGTTTCAGTTACAACTGATAAAATAATTGCTGTCTGTGGTTCTACAGTAGGCTATGGTGTAATTGAGCAATATATGAAAAAAAAAAAAAGAACTATGAACTAGTTCGTTTTCTGGAATTGTGAACTATGAACTGAACTAGTTCATTTTAAAATGTGTGAACTGAACTTTGAACTAGTTCACGTAGAAAGAGAACTTTCCCAACACTGTATATATATATATATATATATATATATATATATATATATGGAAGGAGGTGTGAGCATAGCCTCCCCAGTATGACCATTTCCACAGTCAAATGAAAATGAACTGTTCCTCCATAAAAGCCCTGGAAGCAACACATCAATCAATAACCCACGCGACCAATCCATGGACGACACGTGGTGCTGCATACCTGAGCAAATCTCTTCTGCCCCAAACTAACTGACACAGATAACAGCAGATAAACTATAAAACTCCAGACGACGGAGAGTAAGATAAAGAAAGATAGAGGGTAACACCGGTCCTCTTCTTCTACGGCAGCTTCAGTCACTAAGAGCCGGTAAAATCAGCAAACCTCATGGCTCGCCTCGTGCTAACGCTAACCTTCACCAACCACAGCCCAACCGGCTAATGCTAGCTAGCAGAGGACCGTGTGGAAACTAGACGGTGTTTCCGCGGGGAACAGCGGGTAATTTACTGCCCTCGGTTGACTCTAAGTGCCTCTAAATGCGCTCCGTGATCCCAGCTACTAGAGTCCATGTTGGGGGAGTGAATGAAAACAAACGCTTTACCTCACTCGAGTGCCGTGTGCATCTCCTTTCCGCTCGGTACCAAAAAATCCTGCGCAAGGCTTTGGACGTTAGAGAACTACAGCTCAGCTTATTCACCAACCACACTTACGGAGTTTCCTTAGATTCACGGAAGGGGTTGGGCCGTTGGTCTGTGCAATCTTCGTAAAGCCACGGAGAAAGGACACGCGCTGAAGCTCATTCCCGCGTGACCGTCTGAGCCATCACGTGACTGAAATAAGGAAGCGTGAGGCTGCACTCTCTGACCAGCATCTGAGTGCACCTGCTTACAATCTCATTTTCGGCTTTTAGAGCCTGAATTTTAAAATGCAGACGTTTGATTTTATTACTGAATGAGGTGCACCTGTAAAACAGAAAGGGAAAAAATAGAAATAATCAGGTTAAAATAACATTATAAAGAAAAAAAATATAAAAATTTAAAAAAGAAAATAACAAAATACTATCAGAATGAATAAGATTCTCCTTCAATTTTAATTATTATCATTTAAGATTATTTTAATATGTTAGGCACAGATGTATATTACAGAAATTATTTCAACCTAGAAATCAGGGGCGGATTTAGGAAATTTGGGGCCCTAGGCAAAGACAGGCAGGAGGTCCTCTTAACTGAGAAGACAACACATAAAATAGACCCATTATACAGATACAGACATTTTGATAGTATAGACATCCATTATTTGTTCTACGTTTTATCCCTCTCTTCTTGTCCCTATTCTTGTTTTCTTCTCTATGTTTTGTACTCAGCTGAGTTTTCATGCTGTCTCAAAAGGAATGAAAGATTATTTCCAAACACTAGGCTCACTTAGCTGATTGCTCCTTCCTGTGTTTTCAAAAAGGCTGCGGCAAAAGTAAATAACCCAGTCCTTCTTTTCACTCTAGACAAGCCATGATCTGCTTATCTGTTCTTCATTTTTAATTAGAATGAAATAATAGCTGCATGAATCATGACAACAGAATCTACTTGCTCTGGAGAGCAGAGTTCTGTGCTTTTATTTGTTGTTGCCAAAGTCCACTAGCAGAAAAAAGTATCTACATCTGGTACTAGGCTCTTTTCTGAAATAAAAGTACTATAAGGGTCTGAAAGCTGAGAAAAGTGCTCTTCGCACCATTTTTTTTTTCCAAATGGTTTTCTGCTGTCTGTCTGGACCTTTTTGAACATGTGCAGCAAGTGAACTGATCCAACATGGTGGATGCTGAAGGGGGGTGGGGGGCTGAGACACACTAAATATATAATATTAAAATATAAGCATTCTGGTGGCATTTTAACAAATGGATTTCTATCAAAAACATAATTTTTATGCACAAATAAGGGATAGTTGTATTAACCATACATGTAAACAGAATTCTATGGGGCCCCCAGGAACTTGGGGCCCAGGACAACTGCCTAGTATTGCCTAATGGTAAATCCGCCCCTGATTTGATCACTGCTGCACTTTAAGAGAAGGGAAATGTCATGAGAACTTTATGAAACAAATTTCATTTTGTATACACTGACAGTGTTGTGCCTGAACGCGTTCATTGAACGAAAGTTCATGAACTCGTTCATATTTTGGGCGAACGTGAACTGAACGTACTGCATTATTGCCTGATGAACGTTATTGTGAACTCGTTCATTCTGGCGTCTGTGAACGGCACGCTCTCTCAGTTCAACTCCGTTCAATAGGTTGCCAGATTTCTATAAAGCCCTCCAGGCGAAACCCCGGCTAAATCACACCGTAAACAGGCCTTAATATGTAGCGGGAAAAACACCCAATCTGGCAACACCAGCTACCAGCGTCGTAGCCTACAGCCGCGTGCGTCATCAAAACAAAATGCAGCGTGGAAGCCACAGCAGCATGGAGGCGACTTAAAACAGTTTTATGACCAGGTGGTCGGTGAGGATGATGGCAACAAGTTTGCCCGCCGGCTTTCAGTAAAAAAATCCGCACTTCAGTAACCTTAAATTCCTACCTCAGCCTGGTGCCTCAGTTTGTGTTAGTAAAATCTTCTTGAGCGGAGGTCTTCAACAGGGGATCCGCGACCCCTAGGGGGTCTACGGAGGTACTGCATGAGGGTCTGCATGGTTAGTTGATATTTTTATATTCCCCCCCTGCATTTTTTCCCCCACTAATTGAAATGTCTTTAAATACTCATTAACATGAAATCAACACACTGTAGTAAACAGATAAATGGAGACAGAAGATGTCTTTCAGTCATCAATGCACACATTCAGCGACACACAGGAGCTCTTTCAAGCTGGGCACCGTTTCCTTCACAACACCTGTCCCATCAACCAGGAATCAGAATCAGAAAAACTTTAATAATCCCAGGGAGAAATTAATTTCTTTACATTACTCCATCTGTAATAGAGTGACTATAGGACACAATTTCATACAATATATATAAATAGGGGGTCCCCGCTGCATCTCGCCATCAGTTTGGGGGTCCTTGGTCTGGAAAAGAAGACCCCTGTTCTTGAGGGTTTTACTATCCATGTAACTTGTTTGTTAAACCTGCCTGGTATATTTTCCAGGATTCCTTTTTAGTATGTATTGAAATGGAATTTCAAATGGAAAAAATTATATAAAAAAAAAAAAAAACATTTGCACCTTAAAGACTACTTTCCTATTTTTCTTTTAATAATTACTCATAAAAAAGACCATTCAAGCAGCACATTTTTCCTGATGTTTTTGAGAATATACTGTAGGGGTGAAAGCTGCAGCTGCTACTAGTGTGAAGTGAATGGACAGCAACAAAGCGTTAAAGCAACAATGGGGAAATGCTGTCCCCTCAATGCTAATGTAAACCCTGGATGGATAAGGATTCAAAACTGGATATGAAGATGAAATCTGACGCACAGTTTCAGTGTTACAACTGATAAAATAATTGCTGTCTGTGGTTCTACAGTAGGCTATGGTGTAATTGAGCAATATATGAAAAAAAAAAAAAGAACTATGAACTATGAACTAGTGCGTTTTTTGGAATTGTGAACTATGAACTGAACTAGTTCATTTTAAAATGTGTGAACTGAACTTTGAACTAGTTCACGTAGAAAGAGAACTTTCCCAACACTGTACACTGAGTATACAAAATGACAATAAATGTTTAAGTCATTTGCACCCATCATACCTAATAAAATACACCTAATGCGTTCAGTTAAATCAATCTTATTCATGTGTAGTTTTAACACATTTGAATCCATTAATAATTAAATTGTCAATCATACAATCATGTGGTAAAAACAGTGGCTGTTTCTCAGTTCATTATAAAACGAGTACAGACTTGTGTCCTCGCCAAGTATGTTCTTGAGAAGAACCCAGGAAAGTCTACACTTGGTGAGAACGGGAACACGCAGCTAAATATGGGTCATTTGGAACAGAAGCGTACTGATGACATCACCACACGCTCAGCTCGTCTGGAGCTGCATTTCACCTAGTCTCTAGTCTAGATAATAAAAAATTCTTACTTTTTTAATGTATTGCGGGAATAATAATGAACACAGCCAGATAAACACAAATCAAATGAACATGCAGAGAGAGGGCTGCTGCAGACGGGCTGCGATTAGCCCTGGTTGCCGCAACCCTGAGAGGTCTGCTGGTTGCCATGGTCCTCTAAAATTCGGAAGTTGTTTTTAAAATGACGCATTAAATCGGTAAATGAGCCATATAGTGGCGTTTAAAAGTATAATGTTTTCACCTCAAATGGTATTAAAACATAGCCTCGTGAGACCATCCTGATTTCGCGAGTTTTTAAGATTTCGCTCGCTAGTCAGTCTGGAGACTCTCCGTTGAAGAAAATTTGGAGCCGTTAACCAAACGAACGTCCAATCGTCGTTGGCTTTGAGGCGGGTTGATGTGTGACGCAACGAGAAGCGTGAGAGTTCAGTCTAAAGAACACTAACTAGCGTTAGCGTGGCTATCGAGCAAGTTCGATCGGAATTACAGAGTATTTCCGTATTTCCGAGTATTTCACTGAAAGAAGAGCAAAACACTGCTCTGGAGGCTTTTCTCAGAGGAAAAGATGTTTTTGCTCTTCTCACGACTGGTTTCGGCAAGAGTAGCCTGGCTGTTAGTAAGTCATATGCTTCGTTGATCTGATTGGTTTATTTGGCCCGTCTATCACCAACATAGGCCAATCAGCTAACCAGTATTTTCGCCCCTTCCCAAAATTACTTCAACGGAAGGTTTCCAGATGGATACGCGGAGCAAATCCATCTGGCTGAGTCAGGTTAATTAAAACATACTTCTATTAAACAGCAGCAACAGAAAATAACTTTGAATTTAATATTCTGAGCTCTGTGAACGCTCCATTGGAAGCTGCTGCTGCCGCAGTGCATGCTGGGATAGCTGTCAAACTCAAGAACGGACAAGTCTGCTCTGATGCATGCTGGGTAAAGAGGGAGGGGCTAAAGCAACATCCGGGGACTTTGTCTCTTCTTGGTCTGCTGTTCTTGTGAATTGGAACAGAACTAGGCCTGAGGCTGATGAAGTTTCACAAGCACATCAGATTGAACAAGTACACATATTGAGAAACGGCCATAATGTCTCTACACCTAACGGATGGCATTGAGTCACTGACCTTGTAGCAATCCCTCATCCTGAGCTGGCCTGTGGTGACAGTGGCGAGGGTTGACTCTCTTCTAACAAAAGGAAACCAGTAGACCAAACGTCAGCGTAAGCAGTCATTTGCTGTGACAGGATGAAGGTTGAGAAAGCAAAAAATATATATAAATATTTACTTTTAATGGTAAGGAGAGTAAAATCACTTTTGTTATGATGCATTTTAAATGAGCAAAGCTACATCAGAGACTGAGAAAGCTGGAACTAAATCTTTAAGTATGTGTTTCTGTTGGGCTCCATTAGTGGCCAGTGAGTCATTGTTGCCAGTAAAAACAAACAGGTGACTATCAACATTAGAATGAATGACACAGACCCTGATTATATGGGGGATTCCATAAATATAACATAGCACAATGTTATGAGTATGTGCTTATTTTAAACTGCAACACAAAACCACACAGGGTGATTCAACACAACATGTTAGTTAGATCAACGCTGTGTCGCTGTTTGGATTTTAAACACAAAACACTGTTGCTGTTGGGTGTGAGGAAAAAGAGAGAGTCTAAAGATTTCGACGCTCCTTTTGTTTCAT